AGAGGATGAAGTTGCCATCCATTGTGATGGGGAAGACTCTAGGTGGAGCAGATTTGAGGGGGAAAAGGTCAGGAATTCATACTTGGCCATATTAAGTGTTAAATGTGTATTGGTGATCTAAAGAGAGGTGTTGAGCAGGTAGTTGGAAATACAAGTTTGTAGTTCAAAAGAGAGGAACAGACAGTAATACAAATTTAAGAATCGCAGCATATTAGACATTGTGTAAAGGCAGGAGACCACGAATGAAGAGAGTGTAGAGAGAAGACCGAAGACAGAGTATTCAGGGAGAACCGGGGAGACCAGAAAAGGAGACTACTCAGAAGGAGCAGCCACCAGAGGGGGAGACAATCAAGAGATGGCGGTGTCCCAGAAACCAGGGACCAGAATGTACCAAGGCAGAAGGAGAGATCGAGTGTGTCAAATACAGCTGACAGGTCACGTGAGAGGGACAGCTGAGAACTAGCTGGCTGATAAGGGCCCCTCGACAATGCTCACAGCCTAGTCCCCAGAACCTGTGACTATGGTAACTTCCATGGCAAAAGGGACTTGGTAGATGTGATCATGTTAACGATCTGGAAATGGGGAGATTATTCTCGATTGTCCGGGTGGGATCAATGTAATCACAAGCGTCCTTAAAAGCGGGATGCAAGAGGTTTGGGGTCAGAGGCAGAGAAGGAGATGGGACAGTGGAAGCAGAGGTTGGAGGGATGTGGCAAGGACCGCATTGTCCCCTAGAGCCTCCAGAAGGAAGGCAGTCCCACTGACCTGTTTTGAATTTCTGACCCCCAGAACTGTGTGATGATAAATTTGTGTTGTGTTAAGCCACGAAGTTTGGGGTACTTTGTTACAGCAGCAATAGAAAACAAATACACCAACCACTGGATTTACCCATGTGAATGTCACGTGGTGACCTTGGACCAGAGGAGTTTCAGGGGAATTATGAGGAAAGTCTGACTGAAGTGGGCCAACAAAGTCCAGGAGGACATGTAGGACCTTTGGGCAAAATCAGTTAAAAAAAAAAAAAAAAAAAAGCCTGCTTCAGGCTGGCCAGTTGGAAATAGTGATGCCTCAAGGCAGATCAATTTCAAATGTTGTTCCTCAAAAATGACAAAGTCCTGTGTCAAGCATTTTGCTTGGCAAACAAAGAATGAACTAGATTTCAGCCTCTACCCATGTCTCCTCTACCAAATGCCTTTGTGCAGAGCACAAGTTAGCACTGCAGGAGAGGAATCAAGGATTCCTTTCAAGTGGTTTTGCTGCAGAAGAGCTACGAAGTGGGTTGGTGGCTGGTAGGGGAAGTGAGGACAAAGACAGGATTTTTAAGGTGGTATAGTTGTGTGATGATGGAAATAATTCATCAGAGAGAGAAATGAATGATACAGGAGAGAGGGGAGGATGGCTGGACTGATGTTCTTGAGTCAATGAGGGGGGCTAGGATCTAGACTATAATCTAAATGAGGACCACAGCTGAGGGCTTCATATATGATAAATATCAATAGGAAGGAATACGGCACAAAAGAAGACAGTGAATATGAATAATATGTTCACACTAGGAGGACAATGAACACAAAAGGAGAGAAAGTGGAGGATGTGAGGCCAACCAGGACAGAGTTGTAATGAGTTAGGTGAGGAGGGACAGAGGAAGGTGTCGATGGAGCTTTGAGACTCATAACTCAGAGCTCCTAAGGAGGGCCCCAAGCGTCTGGGGGGCTCACTCTTTGAAGTGACTTCCTTTAGTCTTCTTAGACCCTTTCTGGTACCTGGGACCGGCTGCCATTGGATTGGCATCCATCTGATTGGGGCGCATCAAGACAGAACAGGGGCCCCGTGTGGGCTCAATCAGTACCAGTTTCTCTTTTGGGGGGATGATCTCCCACCTCCTGTCCAGTGAATGGACTTGACCAGATCTCCCCAGTTGCTCCATGATTCATGCTTATGCGGTCATCCTGGGGTTCTGCGGCTAGGTCCTCGTTCTGGGAGGGTGACCTGGCAAGCCAAACACACTTACTGGGAAATGCAGGGTGTTTTGTTTTGTTTTTGTTTTTAGGATTGTGTGAACACGAGGTTGGACTGACAGAATGACCCTGGCATGCTGATTTAGGGTAGCTTCAATTGTTTATATAGACAGGGGCCCTGCAAAAAGTATTTGCACTTGGCTCCACACACTTTGGGAAAGGCACTGATTGTGACACAGTCATAATGAAGGGGCAATCAAAGAGACATTTTAGGGCGCCTGGGTGGCTCAGTTGGTTAAGCGACTGCCTTCGGCTCAGGTCATGATCCTGGAGTCCCTGGATCGAGTCCCGCATCGGGCTCCCTGCTTGGCAGGGAGTCTGCTTCGTCCTCTGACCCTATCCCCTCTCATGCTCTCTCTCTCTATCTCATTCTCTCTGGCTCAAATAAATAAAATAAATAAATCTTTAAAAAAAAAAAAAGATCTTTAAAAAAAAAAAGAGAGAGACATTTTAAAGGAAAAGGAAGAGGGGCACCTGGGTGGCTCAGTCAATTAAGCATCTGCCTTTGGCTCGGGTCATGATCTTGGGGTCCTGGGATCGAGTCCCGCATTGGGCTCCCTGCTCAGCGAGGAGTCTGCTTCTCCCTCTCCCTCTGCCCCTACCGCTGCTTGGTTTCTCTCTCTCAAATAAATAAAATCTTTAAAAAGAATAAAGGAAGAGGAAGAATAGACACAACTTAGGGATTAATTAGATGTTCTAATAGCTGAGTGTCATCTTTTTAGGTGAATCCCCCCCACTACAGACATAGCTCAAACCCTGTGCTTACCTCCATCATTTGGCAATGATACAATTTAACAAAGAGGTAATAGGTGAAGCTTTTTTAAGAGCAATGTGGGAGCTGTAAGGAAGTGGTTTTTCTCAAAATATGAAGTAGTGGTCAAATATTATGGGGAAGGTGTCAGCCAACAATAATCCTCCCCAAACAAAGCTAGCCGGGAGAGAAGTAAAGAACACTCATTTCTCCCATGTGGACTATTGATCTTAAACCACTGAGTATGGAGTTCTTACAGGTTGATCCAGCAGCTATGTGAAAAATAAGAAGCCTCCGCACAATTTGAGTTATTTATCACTTATTGATGACACCACCTGGGTTCAAATCCTGGCTGGGCCACTTCCAACCTTAAGCCAGTTATAGAACCTCCTCACAGCGGGTTCCTCACAAGGCAATTGGACATTTTATTGGTACCTACTTCACAGTTGGGAAGAGTCAATGAGTTCATTCACTAAAAGCACTTCATGGTTGACACATCATAAGCACTCAAAATTAGCTATTATTCTTGTTCATAAATAAAAGGAGAAGATAAAAATACATAAATGTTCTATTTTTCTCAGTGTGAAAACATTTTCTGTGCCCACTCCAAATTCTGTTTTCTTCTATTAAAAATGGAATTTCACAGATTTTTTAAAAATGTTTTTTTATTTATTTACTTGAGAGAGAGAGAGAGAGAGACAGAGATAGCTAGAGAGAGAAACGAGCTGGGAGGAGAGGGAGAAGCAGGCTCCCCGCTGAGCAGGGAGTCCGATGCAGGGCTCGATCCCAGGACCCTGGGATCATGACCTGAGCTGAAGGCAGACGCTTAACCAACTGAGCCACCCAGGTGCCCCTGGAATCTCACAGATTTTATATCCCTGAATGAAATAAGCCATTGGGTAAAATGAGCTGTTGTTAGAACGTTATGGCTTTTTTTTTTTTTTCAGGAGAATTTTCAAATTCTTTTTTCTACTACCCTGCATATGATTGCTTTATCCTCAGTGTACTTCTCTTCCTGCATGCTACTCATTCCTTAGCTTTTTGCTCCTTATCATTCCAATCTAGTTCTTTGTATCTTAATTTTTTCTAATGCTTCATAAGCTGGGTGATTTTTTTTCCCTGTCTTTGGCCAGAAGTATGCGTCATATGCAGGATCTTCTCACAAATGCAGGGGATTTTCCAGCCATTTAAAATGAGCCCAGGAAAACACACCTGCTAATCTGAAGGCAGTCTGACTTCTGCAACCAGGCTGACCCTGTGGAATGCTCAATTAGATTTCCAGTCCATGAAGTCAGTCTTCTTCATCTTTTGCTGATTAGGGATTGCATAAGCGCTACATTTTTCACTTGCTCCTCGGTGTGCCTTTCTTCCATTCAATAATTCATCCCAGAGCCAATATAACACACTATCTCATCAATGTCAGTTTAATAATATCTCTGCCTCTATTTCCATCAATCACCGTTATCTGAAATAACAAACCTCTAGTCCAGTCATCCTCTCTCCCCTTGATCTCTTTTATTTTAGCCCCTCGTATTCATCACCACTTGATATTTATATTTATTTGCTCTTTGTCTATCTCCTTCCACTAGAATATGCAAGGACTTGTTCTGTTCACTGTTATTCTCTTGTGCCCAGAACAGTAATTGTCCTCAAATATGTACTGACTGAATAAATGAGGTGTAACCATTTGCTTTTCTCACTAATACTTTCCAAACTTTTGCTGCTTTTTTTCACTTATTATACAGAATGAGATCAGTAATTTCCATAACATGCCTAACAAATAAAGACCAAGATGGCCAATGAGGGATCAATCTGCAGCATCATACCTCTGTGGTAGCAGAGTTGATCTGCTTTTGCTTTAGTGCTTACCTTGCCTATTTGTTAGGAAAGGAGGCTCTAGAAAATATATTTAAGAAAGCAATAATTTTTTTAATCAACATATTCTCCTATAACTTAAAAACTTATATACTGAAACAGAAACATAAGGGCATGGATTTAGCCCCACAAATATTTTAGCTTGAGTAAAAACTTACATAATAATGCAGACTAAATTGAACTGTAATTGAGGTAACTGAGGCCGTTACTTTGTAACATTGAGAGAGAAGGGCTTAACATCAGTGGCAATTAATTACATCAATATTTCCACTGAGGTACCCATGTGGCAAAGAAGAGGGCACGAAGGCTTCATGGGATCTTACGGTATTACCAATCTGTCTCCTCAGAGGGAAAATTACTTGTATCTTTTACCTTAAAATTTATGTCAATTTTTCATTCTATATATCATTTTTTTAAAGATTTATTTACTTGAGAGAGAGCGAGAGAGCTTGTGAGCCAGGGAAGGGGCAGAGGGAGAGGGAGAAACTCAAGCAGACTCCTTGCTGAGTGCAGAACCAGACGCAGGGCTCGATCCCAGGACCCTGAGATCAGTGACCTGAGCTGAAATCAAGTGTTGGCCACTTAACTGACTGAGCCACCCAGGCACCCCTCTATACATCATTTAAAATATATATGTATAGGGTGCCTGGGTGGCTGAATTGGTTAAGCGACTGCCTTAGGCTCAGGTCATGATACTGGAGTCCCAGGATCGAGTCCCGCATCGGACTCCCTGCTCAGCGGGGAGTCTGCTTCTCCCTCTGACCCTGCCCCCTCTCATGCTCTCTCTCTCTCTCATTCTCTCTCTCAAATAAATACACAAAATCTTAAAAAAAAATAAATACATATATAAAGACATATCTTACATATTAAATAATATAGCATGAGTTAACTAGACACTCCCCAAAGCCTTTTATCTTCAGTCTTTTTGTCCCTTTTTGGTATATCACTACTTAACTTTTTTTTTTTTTTCACTACTTAACTTCTAAGAGTCTGGATTCCTGGTTGGAGAATTATGGAACTAGATATCAGCTCTTTGTGGGTAGGGCTTTATACTTCCTTAAATTCATTTTCCTACTGTACAATGTTGTCTCAGTGTTTCAGCATTTAAAACTCCACTGAATCATGCCTCCAGTGCAGTTTTCTAGCCCCTTGGCCCATTAACTCCCAATCTACATACTTTAACTAATTTGCAGGAACTTTTTTGGCAAGGGCTATAACTGTTTCCTTATGTCTCTCACTGTGCCCACCAGCACAACCATCTAGTATACAATCAGTCTTAAATCAGGAAGGATAGGCTAGGTTCTGCTGATAAGACAAACAACTCCATAATCTCAGCGGATTAACACAACCAAGATTTATTCTTACTTACTCAAAGTTTACTGTAGGCCTACAGAACTCTCCAGGGCAGTTGTCCATTATATGATGGCTCACTGTTGCACCTCACACTCCCACAATCATCAAGGTAAGGAATAATTAAGGATAGAGAGCTGAGCACCCACAGTCAAATACTTCCACCTTGAAGGGACATGTTGCTCTTATTTCATTGGCCAAAGCAGGTCAGATGGCCATGACTAACTTCAGGAAAGTACAGTCCTATTGTGTGCCTAGAATGAGAGGGGAACCAGGTATCAGGTGACGAGAGTACTACATGCCATACACATGCCTCTCTGTTGACTGAATGAAATTGAACACATTTTTACTATAATTTCTGCTCTGTATATAATTACCAATCTTTTCGGTTATCCTATTATTTAACTCATTTCTTGTTATGATTCTACCATTCCCCTTCAGACATTAATTTAACAAACAAAAGAGACAAAATGCTAATTCAAAACACTCATCAGGATAAATTCATCTGAAGTGCTTTCGTATAACTGCGAAACCATCCTTATCATGACTTCACATTAATTGCATGCTTTCCTTCATCACATTAATTAAACAGGTCACTAACCCTTCCTTATTCCCTCCCTGCTCTCCTGATAAAATGTTTAGGTTTTACTAACGATAACTTCACAGTTACCTGCCTTGATACCATCCAGGCATTCCAAAACAAATACATTTCCAAAATAACCAGAAGACACATTATATTTAACATGGGGAAAAAAACAACAACAAAAAAACTTCCACATGAGAAGCAGTATGAATGAGATACTGAAAATTCTTTACTTCGTGATTTAGATTGATTTATTTAACAAGGTTTTCCTAGGATAGATTTCAAGGGTACATTGAAATGAGAGCTTGATTAGTTTGAGATGAATAGCCTTGGTTTCAGGAGAAAATGGTTAAGCCTTTTAAAAACTTCTGTGGCTTCTCATTACCCTTATTGTGACCTCTCAAAGTACTGTGTGTTCTGGCTCCAGCCCAGCTCTAGAGCTTCATCTTGTACCTATTTCTTATGCTCTTGACTTCAGCTACTGGCCTCATGTCAATCCTGGAATCCCTCTTGTTCTTCCCCACTGTTTCCCCCATGACACTGACTTTCTGGAAAATCCAGGTCAGTTGTCTCAGAGAATGTCACACATGCCAGATCAAGTTACACATACTATGGCCTATTTTTGTACAGCACTAGGGCTAAGAATAGTTTCTATATTTTTAAAGGGTTGTAAAAAAAGAGAAAGAGGAGAAAGAAGGAAAGGGAGGAGGAGGAGGTGGTAGGAGAATTATGTGATAAAGGCCATATGGCCTGCAAAACCTAAAATATTTACTATCTGACCCTTTACAAAACAGTTTTCTGACTTTCTAGATCTTTCTGTTTCCTCATGGTATTATTTAGTTTGTACCTCAGTCTCTTGGATTGCAGGCAAGTTGGAAATTAGATCTGGAAATGTGCTGTCCAATATGGTAGTCAGGCAGGCACGTATAGCTACTGGGCACTTGAAATGTGGCTAGTCTAAGATGTGCTATAAGGGTAAAATATACACCAGATTTCAAAGATTTAGCATGAAAACAAGAGTGTAAAATATTTCATTAGTGATTTTTATGTTGATTACCATGTGGAAGTAAAAATGTTTTGGATATATTAGATTAAATAAAATGCATCATTAAAATTAATGGTACCTGTTTCTTTTTTTAATGTGGCTACTAGAAATTTTTAAATTACATATGTAGTTCACATTTTATTTTTATTGGATAATGCTGGTGTAGAGCCTTAATTAAAATCAGGTTAGGGGCACCTGGGTGGCTCAGTCATTAAGCGTCTGGCTTCGGCTCAGGTCATGATCCCTTGGTCCTGGGATCGAGCCTCGCATCGGGCTCCCTGCTCGGCCAGGAGTCTGCTTCTCCTTCTCCCACTCCCCCTGCTTGTGTTCCCTCTCTAGCTCTCTCTCTCTCTCTCTCTCTCTGTCAAATAAATAAATAAAATCTTGAAAAAAAGTCAGGTTAAATGTTTTTGGCAAGAATCCTTCATAGCTGATTTTATGTACATCATACCTCGAGAAACAGAACATCAGTTTGTCTCATTAATGACACTAAATTTGACACCTAATTAAGGGGTGACTGACAAAGATCTTCATTGTAAAAGTACATTTTTTCCTTTGCCATTTGTAATCTAGGATAGCCACGATACTATTGAGCCATGGTTTCCCACTGACTTTTCACTTAATGGTTTTAGTGTCCTTTGATGGTCCTCCCTTGAATCAGTTATGTCAGGGATTGCAAAACGGTGTTTTATATTTTAAGAATTTCTTTTTAAATTTCTTACCTGGCATTCTTTTCTTCCTTTTCTTTTTCTTTTTTTCTTTCTTTCTTCCTTAAAAAGGTTTTTTTGTTTTTAGTGAGTATCACAATGGACACATCCCTTAAAAAAAAAAGATTTATTTATTTCAGAGAGAGACAGAGTGTGTGGGGGAGGGGAGGGGGAGAGGGAGAGGGGAAGGAGACTCCCTCTGAGCATGGGGAGCCAGTGCTGTGCTAGATCTCTGGACCTGGAGATCATGACCTGAACCAAAACCAAGAGTCAGATGCTTAACCTCTTAACTGAATGAGCCACCTGGTGCCTCCACATCACTTTTTATGTACTCAGTGTGTTACAATCAAGTGCAGTAATTATTCTTTTTGATACTCAAATTTCCCTAAATTTGGCTAGAGGAAGTCCCTTCAAGCTGGCTCCTGAATCCTTTCATCATAACCCCATTGGTTTTTGAGGGCTTCCTTGCCATCTGGTACAAGAAGTCCCAGGTCTGCCTTGTATTTTCCTTGTTTTAGAGGTAGAAACTGCCGTTCCTTAAGAAGCCTCCATTTCTTTGAATGAGAAATGGTATTCCAAAACCAAGATCATGGTGGTAGATATGATCAGAGTTACTGGAGTGACATTATTTTCAGGCCCTCTTGGTAGACAGAACTAGAAAACATATTTTAAGAAATCAAAAGATCATATTGATGTTTCTAATTCAAGTTTAATATTGTAGGAGTTTCTCTTGTTTGATTTCTTTTCATGTACATTAAAAACCTTCATTTGATGAAACATAAAGACATTTTCTTATTTGCTTTATCCTACAACATGTAATTTCAAAATTGTAATAACATTATTAAAACTAACATTAACCATAGTGTGTGGTGAAGTTTAAGATTACTTTATAAAGGGGCACCTGGGTGGCTCAGTTGTTAAGGGTCCTGGGATTGAGCCCCAAGTCAGGTACCCTGCTCAGCGGGAAGCCTGCTTCTCCCTCTCCCACTCCCCTTGCTTGTGTTCCCTCTCTCACTGTGTCTCTCTCTGTCAAATAAATAAATAAAATCTTTTTTTTAAAGGATTACTTTAGCTCTTTTGTCCTCAGCATATACCCTACTAAAGGTATATAGTCAGAGTAACTTAAAATACTTATTTGAAGTATTCAAAAGTAACTTGATGTAATTATTTTCCCTGACAGATTATGTTATACATTTGAGAGACTCTTTGATTTGTCTGTTTGTGTTCAATTTTAGGTTTCCTTTTGGTTTATTTTTGAATATATGAAACATTTGCATGGTTCAGAAGTCAAAACCATTATAAAAAGTTAAACTCAGAGATCTTGTTCCCATCCTCGTCTCCTCTATCTTGTTTCCATTGTACCTGAGGTAACTATTTTAATTAATTTCTGGGTTTATCTCTCCTGTGTTTCTTTTCCTTCCTTCCTTCCTCCTTTCCTTCCATCCTTCCTTTTCCCCAAAACAAGCATACCCACATACACATAAATAAAACTATATGCACTGTTTTTGCTTTTTCTTATTTAATATATCTTGAAAACCACTCCCTATCAGTTCATAGAGATTTTCCTCTTTCTTTCGTTTTTAAAATTACTGAAGAATATTCTCTTGTGTGGATATGCCATAGTCTATTCAATAAGTATCTTAAACACATTTCTGCTGTTTCCAATCATTTGCCACTACAAAATTCACTACACAGTGAATAACCTCATGTCTGTGTTGTTTTGCGTTTGTGGAAATGTACCTTCAGGGTAGATCCAGGACTCTCATTTTTAGAAACATCCCAAATGATTTTGATGCACAGCCAGATTTGAGTACTGTTGCTTGCTGGGTAAAAACGGTAAAAATCGTATTCAGGAACATAGAATTGTTAACATTTTTTTTTTTAAGTGAAGAAACAATAGGTAAAGAAGCAAAGTTCTCACCATCCTGAATCCTCACTTACTCTACTTAGAAAAATGCAGTTGAGTTATAAACAGCAGCTTAACTTCTGGAGTCTTGTGCCCAAATCACCGAGTTGGTATCAAGAACATCCTATATAGACACACATAAGTGACCTGGATTTGGGCAGCAGACACCTTCAGTTTTGACACGCTGAGTCTGAAGTAGCCATGGGCCATCCAGGAGTGGTATCTAATAGGCGGTTGTGGGCACTGGTTTGCAGATCAGGTTAGGAGTCATTAGCATGTAGATGAGAGAGTAGGTGAAAGATGACTGAGGGGAGGATTACAGAGTGAGAAGGTGCTCAGGATGGAACCCTGGGGAATCCTAGTACTTAAGAGGATAGCAGAGGAACCCAAAGAAACTATCCATGGCTAGAGAGGTAGGAGGAAAACCTGAGAACACAAGTCATGAAAGCCGGGGAACAAAGTGTTACAGGAAGAAAATAGTTACCAATGTTAAATATCGTTAAGAGGTGAGGCAAGACACAAGCAAGAAGGTAGCCACTGGATTTAGCAACAAAGAGACCAGTAGTATGACAGGGCAGATTCAGCGTTGTGGTGGAAACAGTAGCCATTGGGAGTGTTAAGGAAGGAATTCAAGCTCACATAGAGGATCCTTGGCAACACCCGTGTTTTGTGAGCTGCAACATAGTTTTTCTAAAAGCAACACAAGGAGATACTTGTACCCAAACGGAAAAATCAATTTTAGTATTTTCTCCTATAGATTCTTCTTAAACCTTTGGCACTGGCTGTTGTTTATGTATATTAGAATCTATTATAAAATGCTTTGCGATTTAGCAAACAGCGTCTGCTTAGTTATTTTGGGTTTATTATTAATAGAGTGATTTCATAATAAACAGTATAAAAGTAGTAAGGTAGTGATATACTTTATGGTGTTCCCCAAAGAGTAACAAGGCTTTCAAATAGTATCCCCAGCATGTGTGGGAACCATGGCTCCAGAATAACTTTTTAAAGTCACTGTGATTCTCTTCTATTTCCCTTTCCCAGTCCCCCTCTATACTCTTGGCTATAAATAGATGCTTTTTTGCCCCACTGTGAGCAGGTGGTTGTCCAGCTTAAAGAAGCTTGGGAGACCAGTTTGTTCTCACAGAGGAAAAGATGAAAAAGACTTTGAATGTCATGTTATCCAGCAGTTCCCAAACCTGGCTGAACATCAAAATAGACAACCTGGGACGTGCATTAAAGAGACAGAATCCTGGGTCTCTGTCCTAGATCTCGATACAGTGCGTATGGAATGGTGCCTAGAGAACTGTACCTTGAACAAGAGCCTTTGATGATATAAATTCAACTCCTTAAGGAAACGGAGGACAAAAGCAGTCAGGAGTAAACGGGTCTCCCGACTGGAGATTCGCTGTTCTGTGCTTTGGGTGGTGGCCGGTTGTCCTGAAGGGCATCTGGGTTTTCGTTTTAGGGTGTTGGAGAGGGCTTGCTTTTCCGGGCTCTCTAGGCTCACTAGACATGGCCTTCCCTCAAGTTTCTCTCTCCGGAAGTGCTAGAGGTTCTGCGGGTGCTACACCTGACGCTGCCCAGCGGGCGGGTTAAGACCAGGCACCGCTCGGACCCTCACATCTGGTTGCCGTGCGCGCACGCTCTTCTCCAACCCCCAATCGCCCCGCCCTCATCCCGCCCCTGCGGAGTCTCATCCCCGCCTCCCACGGGAGCCTTGGGGCGGAGCTTCGCCGCTGCCCCGCCCCTCCGCACGCGCAGGCCGCTGTGGGGGCGTTCCCGGAAGTTCTTAATTTTCGGAGCTGATTGGCTGGTCGTGGCCGTGTACCTTGCCCGGGTTTTCCGGAATTTGGGGAGAGTTGCAGGGGAACAAGATGGCATTTTTGAGTCAGCACTTGCGCGAGCTGCAGGGACCTTTGCTCCCACCCAAGGACTTGGTGGAGGAGGACGATGACTGTCTGAAGGAGGACGTGGAGGAGGATGAAGACCTGGAGTTTGTCGATGCCGAGGAGCTCTGCAGTGGGGGCGTAAAGGCGGGCACCCTCCCGGGGCGCCTTCGCGGTGAGGAAGCCCTCTGCCCGGAGGGGATGGGATTGGAGGATGAAGTGTTTCCCGTTCAGGCCTTGTCCTAAGTAAGGCGCCCATTGCTGCTAACAGACATTTTTTGGGATGGCCTCGCTGTTTCATCCTACCTAGGATGAGATTATATAAATATAATACAGTAGCAGTGACTTGAGTAATACCATGTGTTAAGCTTGTGCTCAACGTGTGTTATCTCATTTGATGTTCACAAGTCTTTGACGTAGTTTTATTTTTATAGTCGAGGGAACAGTTGGATGTCGAGCCTGTATTCACACCCAGAATTAGACTTTTCAACTATTTTCCTATCCTGCTTGGAGTCAAATATTTATTTTTCAGCTACTTAGAAAATACACGCACACACAAGAAACACCTCAAGGCGTTGTGGATTCATTAACTTTGTGTGAATAACGTTGTGATGTGCGTTTATCTTGTGTAGTTTCCTGCGCTATACATAATACCTGTTATGTGGACATTGTGACTGATATTTAAGAAAATTTTAGTGGTAAGACCAGTAGAATGTTCTGTGCTGATGGCATTGTTCTATGTTTGCGCTGTCCAGTACAATAGCCACCTATAGCTGGTGGGAATTGGGAACGTGAAATGCAGCTAGAGCAACTGAGGAGCTGAATTTTAAATTTTGTTTAATTTTAACTAATTTAAGTTTAAGTAGTCACATGTGAGTGGGCAGCGCAAGTTTAGACAGAAAGTTTTCAAGTATTTGTAAGGGTTTAGTCATTTATCCTAAAAGTATTAGTGACTGGATACCTTGGTCCAAGCATGGTGGTGTTTGTTGCCAGGGGGGATACCTGGGAGAGATAAGATAATGAGGTTTCTGTCTTAATGGAGCTTGTTCTTTGGTGAATTAAACACACATTCTTTAAATAATTACAGAAGTAACTGTAATATTACTTAGTTCATAGAAGGAATAATAAGTAGTGCTATGAGAGGTTATAATCTTGAGATTCAGGGAAGACTTTCCTGAGGAAGCGACAATTAAATTTAGAGGTCTGTAGAAAATGGGGGCAAACAGTAAGGAAGAGAACATTTGAGGCAGATGGAACAGCTTGTGCAAAGGCCCTGTGGTGGGAGGGACCATGGCATTTTTTAGAAATTGCATGAAGGTCATTTTTGGCTTAGGTCAGAGTAGCAGAGAGATGACTGTTTTTAGAAGAGAAACAACAGACTTGCCATGTACCATACTTACCTCTTGGAATACAAGGACAAGTGAAACATTGTCTTAATCTAGAGAGCTTACAGCACAGTAGAGGGAGACTGATAAACAGGTAAGTGGAATGTAGATACCCTAATAAACATCTATACAGGGTGCTGTGGGGGGAATAAAGAGAGTGGAAGATTTGGTGAAACATTGAAAAAGAGGTTTTAAAATGTCTTAAATTAACTTTTTTTTTAAAGTTGTAATTTCTGATGAAAACACTCAAGAGCAATGTGACGTGTTTGGACGTTTTCCAGTAACGGGTCCTTGGTGGCGAGTGAAGGTGCAAGTGAAACCTATGGGATCAAGGAGCTATCAAGTTCAAGGATTTCCATCTTACTTTTTACAGTCTGATATGTCACCACCAAATCAAAAACACATCTGTTCCCTGTTTCTTAAAGACTGTAATTTCCCCAGTGATTATATAAATAAATTTTTAGCATGGGTAAATGCTGTATCAAGCTTTAAAAACCTCAACTTTGAAAATCTTAGGGAAACATTAAGAACTTTCCAAAAGGAAACTGGAAGGAATGGTCAAAAAAAGTCTACACAGAATGAACAGGAAGAGTCTCTACCAGAAAACGAGATGTGGCTCCCTGTGGAAAACACAAGTAGGTGTGATTTTATCATCCAGTTTTATTGTAATTGAAATACTTAATGACTAGTGTGTTTAAGATATCACCACTATAGTATCTTGGCATACTATTCTTTTTTAAAATCTGTTTTTGAAAATGTGTTTCTATTGCTTTTGGGTTTGTCATTATAATTTCCAGGTTCCTCATCATTACGGTGGAGAGGTTGGGTGAGATGATCTTTAAGCCCCTTTTAGTTCCTCCCCAGCTCTAAAACTGTGTTTCTCTCTACCGTTTTTTTTTTTAAGATTTTATTTATTTATTTGACAGAGAGAGACACAGCAAGAGAGGGAACACAAGCAGGGGGAGTGGGGGAGGTAGAAACTCTCCCCCACTCCCCCTGCTTGTGTGTGGGGGAGGTAGAAACTTCTCGCTGAGCAGGGAGCCCGAGCAGGGAGCCCGATGTGGGGCTCGATCCCAGGACCCTGGGACCATGACCTGAGCCGAAGGCAGATGCTTAATGACTGAGCCACCCAGCCACCCCTCTCTCTAACTTTTGTGTGCATGGGATTACCTTGAGTCATTAAGAAAAAGTTCGGTGTTTTTTTTTTTTTAAGATTTTATTTATTTATTTGACAGAGAGAGACAGAGTGAGAGAGGGAACACAAGCAGGGGGAGTGGGAGAGGGAGAAGCAGGCTTCCCGCCGAGCAGGGAGCCTGATGCGGGGCTCGATCCCAGGACCCTGGGATCATGACCTGAGCCGAAGGCAGACGCTTAACGACTGAGCCACGCAGGCACCCCGAAAAAGTTCAGTTTTTAACTATTCAGTTCCAATTATTATTCTGTTTAAGAAGGGAGAAGAGAGGGGCGCCTGTGTGGTTCAGTTGGTTAAGTGGCTGCCTTCGGCTTAGGTCATGATCCCAGGGTCCTGGGATTGAGTCCCTGCTCAGCAGGGAGCCTGCTTCTCCCTCTCCCTCTGCCTGCCACTCCCCGTGCTTGTGCTCTCCCTCTCTTGCTCTCTCTGTCAAATAAATAAGAAATCTTAGGAAAAAAAAAAAAAAGGCAGAGGAGAAAGTTAAGAATATGAGTATTCCATTTTGGAAAGATTTCAGTCCAAAGTGGTATAAAATAATTTTTTAGTATGGTTTGTTATCTGGACATTCACATGAATGGAATATTTCATTTCTTAATTATATCAAATAAATTTGGCAGGATATCACTGAATGACTTCAATGACAAAAGAATCATGATTACAGTCAGAAAAATGATTATAAAGGTTAATATGTTAATGATTTATTTTTTATGCTTAGTTTTAAATTTATCTTTATATCACAGAGTCACAAATTTTCCTCTGATTATATTGTCTACAAAAGGAAACAGAAGGCTAAGAAGCGGTTGTCTAAGCATTTGAAGAACATAATGAAAACCACTTCAGTACAAAATCCTTTGTTATAACACGATCAGTTTTCTTGCTGGTTAAAGTAAATTTATTTGTCTCTCTTTGATTTGGATATTTGGAACTGGTTGTGCTCCAGGAGAATGTCCATCACATCAGTTGTTCTGTGAGCTCATTTGTATGTTTTGATTTGTTCTTTCCTATTATCCTGTAGTTCCATTTAAAAGTATAATGACAGCTTTGCAGTTTCCAAAAGTAATGGAATTCCTTCCAGTTCTTCTGCCTCGACACTTTAAACGGCTCTTAAGCTCAGGTTCTAAGGAGGTGTTGGAAGACCTAGAAGAGATGTTAGGTACACATCCATGGAAACTTGGATTTAGTAAAGTAAGTAAGACATTTACTCACCATTTAGAAATCCTGTGTGAGGGAGGATTTCTCAAACTTTACAATTTTTGCATCTCTTTCAAAGGAAAAAAATTCGTATGGACCTCAATGTTGATTTTTCTTTTAGTGTTAGAACCAACTATAAACTTCTTATACCTGTAGCTCTTATGCAGTAAATTGATGACATTGAAATTGTCAATAATTTAATTACATAATTTAATTTAATAGGAAACATCTCTTTGGTAACTAAATGGCCATTTGCAATGTGAATATAGATCTCACTGAAGACACAGGTTCTTATGAATTTGGCAAATCCATTTTAATCCCTCACTTTCCTATTTGAACTTCTGAAAACTTTCATTATTCATGTGGTACATCATGATACTATTGGAATTTTTATTTGGCACAATAATATCACTTCCATATGAATCCACCTCTGTTCTTATCATTAGAGACCAAGAATGGGCGTGGCACTATGAGGCTTCAGTGGTGTTGGAAACCAAACTCGGCACTTAAATGTTGGCAGTACTTGGTTATGGGTGGGTTTTCCAAATGAAAATACAATTTAAAAATTCTGAGATAATTCTTGGATCGCCAAGAATGCTTACTGAACCCCTTCCCCCCAATTTGAGAAATACTGGAATAATGAATTTGTTTCCTACATAAAATGATGATGATTTCAGTATGTTTTGCAAAATGAAATTCATTGAACATTAGATTATTATATATATTCAGTAGAGAAGAGAGGCAGAGCAATGCACATTCTGGGACTCAAGTGGAAAGAGGAGACTTGAAGTCCCACTGTTCGGTGTGGAAGCCACCATCAAGAATATAGATTGTTACTGAGGTATTAGATGGCTGGGGCTGCCAACCCTCTTAAGTCTGTGCTTCAGGCCATAGTCTGGGTAGCTTAAACAATAGAAATTTATTTTATCATGGTTCAGGAGGCTCTAAGTCCAAAATCAAGGTGTTGGTTGGTTGGTTTCTTCTGAGTCCTCCTTAGCTTGTACATGGTCATGAGGAGACCCTTCTCCCTGGGTCTTCACATTGTCTTCCTTTTGTGCCTGTCTGTTGTAATCTCCCTTCTTAAAAGGACACCAGTCATACTGGGTTAGAGCCAATGACCTCATTTGAACTTAATTACCTGTTTAAAGACCGTATCTCCAAATATGGCCACATTTTGACATACTTGCAGGTTAGGATTTCAACATGAATTTTGGGGGGACACATTTTAGCCCATAAAATGTATGGATGGCTCTAGGAGGGATGTCTCCGTGAAAAAAAAAAAAAAATGGAGCTGGTGGAGAACCTTCTGAGTGGATCATGGTGAAGGAAGTTCTGTGTCCCTCCAGTAGAGTTTGGGCAGAATTGTTGAGAGGCACGTAGAAACCTAAACAAGCCAAGAAAGTGAGGCAGTCACCAACTTCACTATACACACAAGAGTTTGACACAAAAGTTAATATAATTGTAGTATATCCTGTCCTCAGCTGTGAATCCTATTTACAATGATTTACTGAAAATTGATTAATCAAATATATACTATAACTTTTTTTCAAAGATCAGAAGAGGAGAAGCAGGTGTGGAGGTGATGGTATAAAAGAGAGAGAGCTTCTATAGAGAAAGACTTCCCCTAGGAGGGAGTTAATATTAAATATCAAAAATTAGAAAAAAAAAAGGGTAGTATAAACAGTACTTAGAACAGTGTTGACTTTATAAGGCATGGAAAGGGTGAGTCAGGGGATTCCTGTCTTTTGCGATAAGCTTCATAGTGTTATTTGATTTTGAAAACTGTATGTGTATTGTTTTGAGAAAATAAATTTATATAGATCTTTATTCACAGTACAGCAAAAACTTCGTGATGTATTAGGTACCCAGTTTTTTCTCCAAATTTAGTTGATCTACATGTCCTCTGGGACTTAAGCAATTATTAACAAATAACATATTTTTACGTAATTCTGATAATAGTCATCAACATTTATAATTTTTATAAAGCAACTTTATTTTCTTAAAGATAACCTACACAGAACTGAAGCTTTTGCAATGTGAGGCGAGTTGGACATCATTTTGTCAGTGCAAGTCTCTTCTCCAGCTGATGAGTGATTTGGAGAAGAATGCATTAATAATATATTCGAAACTGAGGCACATATGTCGAGACCAAGGGCACACGTGCATTGAAGAGGCTGACTTAACTTCTAAGTTGTCAGACCATATGTCCTTCCAAGACGCTTGGCGGTCTCTGAAGTTTTTGAAGGACATTGGTGTGGTGACATACGAGAAGGGCTGTGTCTTTCTTTATGACCTTTACCAGGCTGAGCGAGGCATTGCCTCTTCAATATGTGACCTGATGACAAGGCCTCCATGGCATTTACATGTCGATGTCAAGAGGGTGCTTGCGTTAATTCACACTACAAAACCTGAGAAATCAGGAAGCGACGAGACATTGAATGAAAGTCAACCGGATGAAACGGGTTTAGAAAATCCTGTGGATGTTCTGGACTCACAGGACAGCGGTGACCATGTTTGCAGTAACGGTAAAAGTGAAGTGAATGTAGAAACAAGTGAAGGTCAGCTGGATCAGGATCAGGTGGCTGCTTTGGAAATGGTTTGCTCCAACGCCGTGACGGTCATCAGTGGAAAAGGTGGTTGTGGGAAGACCACCATTGTTAGCCATCTTTTTAAGCATATGGAGCAGTTGGAAGAAAGAGAGGTAAAAAAAGCTTGTGAGGATTTTGAACAAGACCAGGATGTCTCAGAAGAATGGATCACCTTTACCGAGCAAAGCCTCCTGAAGGCAGACAAGGCGATAGAGGTGTTACTGACAGCACCAACGGGGAAAGCGGCTGGCTTATTGCGAGAGAAGACTGGTTTTAATGCTTATACGCTGTGTCAGGTAAAACTTTGTCCATTTTTTTTCTACAGAGAAAACATTTGCCTGAAAGACGGGCTTTATTTAATGGGTTTATTTTTTATTTCTTCCTGATGACAGTAGGTATTTATTGAATGTCCTAGGGATCCCTGCTTTGTAGTCACTGAACACTGAGATCAGTGCCATGCAGAGCAGCCGGTCTGTAAACTGTGACCAGTTTGCAGGGAGGAAGGAGCTGGTGCTGGAAAGTCAGTCAGTAGACTGCTTCTTTCATTGAGGAAGTCTTACTATGGAAAAGAAGTCAGCCAAACTGAAGTGTATGCTTCATGACGTAGTTCAGTTAGATTCTGGTACAAGCTTTATTCTGGGTGGCATGGGACTGGTTACAAGCATGTTACCGTCCACAGACCTTATTTGAGAAGTGTTTGTGTGGGAAGGAAAAGGTTTTATTCTATTTTATGGAAGGAAAACTCCAGAAAAGTGAAGACTTTGATCATCCAGTTCAGTTCTTTATCTCCTTTACCCACAACAATGCCTGGCCAACAGTCATGTAATACAATTTTCAAATGAATCGATATGCTTGAAAAACATAGTTTTGGCTGTAGTTAGAAGTCATGACATCTTGAACTTGTAAAGAACTGGAGAGGTTTTTCTAGGTCTGACCTGCCATTTTACAGATCAAGGAACTCAGTTGTTGGAAGATTTCTGAAGGCAATAATCATTGACTTGGACTATAAAGGATAGAAAGGCTCAGGTGAGGAGACGGACATTTTATTTCGGGGGAAAGCCTTTCCACAGGCATTGAGGAGAATGATCACAGGGTGTAGAGATGGTTTTGAGGTGACGGCGTTGATCAGAATGAATTCTGTGTATTATAAAATAATGGAAATTGAATTTGGTTTAGACTGGGAACTTGAACTTTCAAGTTTGCAAAATATCCCATTAAATCCTTGATAAACCAGTGAAGTGAGTAAGCCATATCATCTCCATTTTACAGAAGAACCAGTTGAAATTTGGGGAATTCAACGACTTGCCCAAGATTGTAACCAGGTGTGGAGCTAGCACCTGGATTCAGATTTGTGACCTCCCCTCTCGTTGCTCTTTCTGTGGTGCCGTAATTGCCTCCTTTATTATAGTTCTTGCATATCTAACAAAGAAGCTTGGACTTGGCTTATTGGGGAGCCATTTAGGATCCTAAGCAAGAGAGAGAGAATCACAGAGCCGTGGGCCACCTCAGAAATGACATCATGCATCACCTGTATTTTTCACACGAGTGAACATAGCCCTAGAGAAGATCAGTGTAGCTCACTCATGGCAGAGTCTTCTGATCAGTTTATGATTTTTCCCATTATGCCTTCACATCTGATTAGGCCGAAGGGTTGGCTTAGAAGAGGAGAGCCGAAGAGGCATTATTACTAAGTTTCATCTTATGTTCCAACTCTGATCAATGGGTAGTATCTTAATATCTGCTTAGGATGCTGGGAGAATATTTCTGAAGCCACATTTAGGGTCAGAAGAGAGTGTAGGGCCAAAGGAAAGGCACTGATGTGGCACTTACGCCATTTATTTATCATCCTTGGGCTAGGGTTACCCGTTTACCAGATGGAGCAGATAAAAATAAAATTGTGTGTGTGTGTGTACCAAATATTGCATCAAACATACTTGCACTGGGGCACTTGGATGGCTTAGTCGTGAAGCGTCTGCCTTTGGCTCAGGTCATGATCTCAGGGTCCTGGGATCGAGCCACATCGGGCTCCCTACTCGGCAGGAAGCCTGCTTCTCCCTCTCCCACTCCCCCTGCTTGTGTTCCTGCTCTCGCTACTTCTCTCTGTCAAACAAATAAATAAAATCTTTAAAAAAACAAAACAAAACATACTTACACTAAAATGTTATTTATTGTTTATCTGAAATTCATATATCTTATCTGGCAATCCCATTTTGGGTTAGTGTATAGGGGAAGGTGGTTGTAAGGCTGTGGGAATAATCTAGGCTCATAGGTGGGGCCTGTATTGAGTTGGTAGCACTAAAAATATAGTGGAAGTGTCAACCAGGCATTTCTAAGATAACTAAGTGAATATATAAAATCAAAGGAAGCAGTTAGCAGTGATTCAGATGTTCTTTTGAGACAAGGCCATTGAGAGAATGTGGGTTTTGCTGAAGGGAATTGGTGCATTTGGGTGGAAAACATGAAGGCTTTTACTTAATAGACATGTTGAATCTAGCTTCAGTAGAAAAATTTTAAAAAGATATGATACCATTTAAGAAATCTGTGTATGTATATAGTGTATACATACATACTTACAACATAGAAACATTTTGGGAATGATGTATACCAAAATATTTAATCTCTGGTTTTACTTTCCAAATTTTTCTCCTCATCTGTATTTTTATTTATTTATTTATTTATTTAGATTTAATTTATTTATTTATTTGGCAGTGCAATAGTGCTGTGTGTGAAGCTTTTACAGTAAACACACACAGTACTTATCAAGAAACATTTTTTAAAAACTATTTGATCTTTTTTTGTTTTTAGATTTATTTGATCTATCTTTTCTGTGTATCCATCCCTTTAGGGTTTTAAGAAGTTTGAACTTTTGTGTTCTCTAGTTCTTCAGGCTGTTTCCCTATGTGGCTTTACCTACACCCTCCCTCCCTCCCCCATTTAAGAGTTTTGTTTTAAAATAACATGGGTGGGGCGCCTGGGTGGCTCAGTTGGTTAAGCGACTGCCTTCGGCTCAGGTCATGATCCTGGAGTCCCGGGATCGAGTCCCGCATCAGGCTCTCTGCTCGGCAGGGAGTCTGCTTCTCCCTCTGACGCTCCTCCCTCTCATGCTCTCTGTCTCTCATTCTCTCTCTCAAATAAATAAATAAAATCTTTAAAAAAATAAAATAAAATAAAATAACATGGGTTGTTAAGATTTTGTTTTGTAAAATTTATAACCTGAATTTAGAGATGCCATATTTTGCTTACAGGTCAATTACAGCTTTTATTTATGGGAGAAAAAAAGCCTGGCCAAGAACCATCCATGGAAATTTTCTTCAGTTAGAGTTCTGGTTGTGGATGAAGGGAGTTTGGTATCTGTCAGAATCTTCAAATCGGTTTTAAAGTTATTGTGTGAGCACTCCAAACTTTCTAAGCTTATTATCCTTGGTAAGTGAAATATTGTTGGAATCCTAATTGTTTAGTTCAAAGCATTGCAGTTGGTAGGTTGCTTACACCATTTCACTGGTTTGGTATCCATATCCTACAGGTGGGAAGCCGTTTCTCAGAGCCCACACCCCAGCCCCCCTGAGTTCAGTCTGACCTCTCCCTCTAACAGCTTGGGTGGTTCTCCGTTTGGGCCGGGATATTAGCAGACCAGGCCGCGAAATGAAATGAGTTGTAATTGGTTACTGCTAGTTACCTAAATGATGACTGTTAAAATCGTAAAAACGTCACACACTTAGAAAGTATAATGCAGATCATTTGGAAATATAAAAAGTCTGAATTATAGACCACTTGGGAGTGAATTTATGATTTTCAGCTAATAACTCAAGCTAGATATCAGTAGCCTCTTAAATCCTTTCCCATTCTGGTAAGATTTAGTTAGATTCTGTTGGGTACTACTGGTCTGTAGACTATGATTTCATAGAGAATCATATTGTGAGAATCAAATTGTATACAGATAATTCTCTTAGGTCTTTGAGGACGTGCTGTAAACATTTGATTCTGTTAATGGCTTAAGCATTCCCCCAGTTTCCACTGAGAAGAGTTGTTTTTTTCACTCCAGGGTTGGTTTGTTTCAAGAGATTTCTAACAGAGCCAAACATTATCATTATATTACAGGAATTTATCTATTATCAAATATGTTGGGTTTGTTTATTTTGTATTTTATATGTTTATTTTATTTATTTGAGGCCATAGATTCTTCCAGGTCTACTAAGACGTTGAGTAAGACTGAGTAGGTGGCTGAATACCATATACCTAAGATTCTAAGGCCTGTTTTTCTCTAAAATATATGCCCCTACACAGTTTGCCTGGGGTTATAGGTATGAAGGAAGTTCAATTCAGATTGTACCTTACTGTGTTATCACTGTTTTTTATATCTCATACTGTTTACTCTGAATGCTTTGTTGTTGTTAAATAACATTTTTAAAGAGTTAATGTTCTTAAGTAATTTGGGGGGGGCTTTTTTCTTAGAATAAATCTTTATAACCATAGCATATATCAGTAGGGAGAAATAAAAACAACTTCTAAATTTCAGGAACCCTCTTACCGAAAACCTGCTATATCTTATTCTCCTTTTAGGTGATATTAGACAGTTGCCCAGCATCGAACCTGGTAACTTGCTGATAGATCTTTTTGAGACTCTTAAGTCAAGAAATTGTGCTATTGAACTAAAGAAAAACCATAGAGCAGAATCTGAGCTAATTGTCAACAATGCCACAAGGTATAGTATAATGAAAATTTTGCATTTTCTCTCTGTTGTATTAGAAATAAAAAGTAAAAAACATATCTATTAGTTTTTGAATTAGGACAGTTAAGTGCAGTACATTTCCTGTGCCCTTCTAGCAAACTTATTCTAGCCTTCAGGTATATATGGACCTTTTGCCCCACAGTTAGAAAAACAAAAATAATGTTTTTCATTACTGGTCCAGCATGAATTATTATTGAAATTTAAGTGAATGTGTTTTCCTGATTTAAAAAGTGTATATGTGAATTAAAGTTGCATCAAGCTTAAAGCCTAGAATAAGCCTAAGGGAAACAGAGAGTTGGAAATGAGTTCATTAGAGTTCAAGGGAGAATGAGGAAGAATTATCCCCTAATTTTTGTAAGGGGAGCCCCAAGGCCCCCCCCCCAAAAAAAAGGGAATGTGGTATTTTATTCCTTGATGAATCCTGGTGGCACCCATGGCATATTACTCCCCTTAGTGTAGAAAAGAATCCTTCTTTCCCCTTAGTTTTTGCATATGCCTTTAGAGTGATCCTCTAGTTACAGAGGATCACTCTAAGAGACTGTTTTATTCATCGGGCCAAAATTTATCTTTGTTTTTTGACATTTTTTTATGAAATGTTGTTTTTGTTGCTCAAACATTTTCTTGGTTGGATTCAGCAGAAATTAGAACATTTAGAATGTCCTTTCTCTATGCCCCTGTCTGCCCTGGATAGGATTGTAGGAGTATAGGAAGGATTGACAGGGCTGGGTAGGATGTTGTAGGTTCATATCAAGACATTAAGCAAAAGAATACAGTTGGATGTGGAATATTCTTTTTGTCTAACCCTCCTGCTCCTACCTAAAGGCCACCTCGTTTGGGGGAGGTTGGTAGATGATTGGTCACTTTAAAGTCTGAAAATCTCAGAAGAATCTAAAGCACATTAGATTTCTCAGAAGTCAGTTTTATCTGAAACTTAGGAATTCCTTTTATTAACCCTTTTGATGTTATTTGAGCTGTGCTGCTTTCATCATTCCTTCTTGTCATCACCAAATATTTAATGTCACAAGGATCCTAGTGATAGCAGGGAAGGACTAGAAGTGTGTTTCATGTTATGGGTCAGAAGCAAAACAGGAAATCCATGGTGATTCTCAGCATCCCCAGAATTGGATCTGGGATATTTCAGCAAGGACAGCCTTCTTCCCTTTCCTCCCTTTCAACCCTGTGGGGAAGGATTGATGATGACAGTAGGGTACCACTAGCTTTAATAGCCAGGTTGCCGTTAGGTCTTTTCAGGGAGTTGGTCTTCTTCCAGATAACCGAGGAGAGACTCTGTTATGATAAGGCACCTGCCCCATGCTCTGTTTTCTAATAGGATTTGCTAGTCTTGGGAAATAAAAGAACAAAAGAAGGTTGAGGGCATAGACGCAAAGAGAAGATGAGGATATTTGGTTCAACTGAGAAAATGAGGACACATGTATGATATACACAAAAGAAAGGAGAAAAAGAGTGTGATGTAAGCCTATGAAAAAGGCCCCAAAGAATCCAGATTCATTGAAATAGAAAGGGCTTATGGAGCCAGAAGGGCCCAGATTTGCCTCCTAGCTCCTCTGCTTTCTACCTCTGTGGCCATGGGCAACCCACTGCAGTTGCATAAGCCTCATGCTACTCACCTGTGAAATGAGGATAATACCTACCCTGAATAGTTCTTTCCTGGTCTGGAGGAGAGTAGGTCAAGTTCTCAGAACGGTAAATTCCCTGGCAGTTTTTTCTAATGCTTTTAATTTGCTAGGGGTAGGGGTAGGGGACTGATTGGTAAGTGTAACTTTATGGTCTTGCTAATTCTATTTTATAACTCATTTACTATTTATAATGCCTATATGGGTAGCCTTTTCATCTTATTTATTATCTATTAGTTATTGTAATGACATTATCTCTGATGATATATGAAGACACATTTTTGGATACTAATGTTCTTGCTGTGTTATTTTATCTTCACTTAAGAATCTCAAGACGCCAATTTCCAATATTTGATGCAGAGCTGAATATCTCTGATAATCCAACACTCCCTGCCTCAATACAAGATAAAACATTTATTTTTATCAGACTCCCAGAAGAGGATGCCAGCTCTCAGTTATCGAAAAATGATCCTCACTCTTGTAAGTATAAACTTCTGTATTATGTAGGGTTATAATTTCAGTTTTATAATATACTTACTAAATGACTAGTTGTAATTTTATTTGATGGTAAAGATAAATATTGCTAGTAGAAAATTTAGGCACCGAAATAAATAAACTATTTATTCATCATCAGAAGCAGAGTACCTTAGAATTTGGTAAAGAAGTAAGCTCTCCCAGCCCAACATATGTAACCAGATCTGCCTTAACAGATCATACGTATAACGTCATGCTCTGGAAGGAATTTGGAAGGACTAATGATGCAATATAAACACACACATGCACACATACATATCCAAGAAGTAAGCTCTTGACACATACACACTAAGGGCTTAGTAAGTATTTACTGAGTGAATAGACGGATGTAGATGATTAGTTTAAAATGAAGCAAAGCCTCAGGAATCCAAGTTCATTCAGGAGAAAGCGTATCCTAATTAATGAAGATTTTCTTGTATAGCAATTGGAAATTACATTTGCTATTTTGGGTACATTTGTGAACCAAAAATATTGGTCAAACTGTTGCCAAGTTGAGTTCCTACTAGTTCTTTCTGTTTCTTATAAAATGGACAGGCATTGCTTCTAATTAGGGGTCTTAGGGTGACAACGTAATAGGGTCAAAAAGAGCACAGTCTTTTCCCTTATGTGTATGACCCATGTCACATCACTTAACCATTTGTAAAATGCGATTCATAGGACACTGCCCGTGGAGCTGTTGTGAGGGTTGAGGGCACTCATCGGTTTCGAGGTGCTATAGAACTGTTAGTTTTTCGTGAATAATAGATATTAAATGATCTATTACAAATTGATTAAACCCTTTGATCTTTATGTGTATTCTAAACATACTTAGCAAACTTTTTCTTTTTTCTTTTTTTTTTTTTTTAAGATTTTATTTATTTGAGAGAGAGAGAGAGTGAGAGAGAGAGCGCAAGAGGGGGTAGGGTTAGAGGGAGAAGCAGACTCCCCGCCGAGCAGGGAGCCCGATGTGGGACTTGATCCCAGGACTCAGGGATCATGACCTGAGCCGAAGGCAGTCGCTTAACCGACTGAGCCACCCAGGCGCCCAACAAACTTTCTAAAATAGTGTAATGGTTTACTCAAAATTGAATTAGTGAAGATTTAAGTGATTATTACTGAGAATATATTGTAGTCATCATTCTTAAGGGTATATCCTAACTACTTAGCAACCTTCACTCCAATGTGAAATTAAGTGATGTACTACCTTATGTGTAAGCCCCTCCTGCTTTGTGGGTCATAGTCGCGGTTCCCTTGGGTTGGGGTCCATTCACATGTTACAATAATTTTTTTCTCTTTTGAAACAGGATCATATAATACATAGTATTCTATAAATGCCCTTTTGATTTTTTTGATTGTAGAAATAATTTCTATCCCTTAAGAAAAGGTCAAATAATCAGGAATGTCTGACATAAAAATGAATATTTCCCTGTTATCTTCCTCTCTGTTTCCCCCAAGGCAACCCCCAAAAGGTTGCGTACTACTACTCTTACGCATCCATTACTCTTACTATGTAGTAAGTTTGGTGTTGATCCTTTTAAACCTTATTATATTCATACACAAACATATATTATTTATTTCTGTCTTATGTAAATGGGATTATGAGCTACACATTGCTTTGTGATTTTTTATTAAATATATTGTGAATAATTAATAGGTGATATTTATTCTCACAACAGCTTAGTCAAGAGTAGGTACTAGTACAGATGAAAAGATGAAACTTAGCCAGTTAAGGAATGTGCCCTCCTTGCCACTCCATTTAGATCTACCTAAAATGTCGTTAGTTTTATTTCTGGTGCCCATTCTTTATGATATCGGGAGTATACTTTAAGAAAAAGAGTGGTCTGTTTCAGAATGGCAGCAGAGCTCAGCTGATGCTGTTTTTCCATCTTAACTACAACCTTCAGCTAGCAAATTAGTCCCTTCTTCAAGAGAACTAAATAAATATTCCTTAGAGAGAGGCATATAGTACTTTTCCATTAATAATTAAGTTACTGAGTAAATTATTCCCGTTATTACAAAGTACAAAGTACAAAGACCGAAGACAGGCTTCATAGCTGGGCTACAACTTCAGAGATGCTGAAGTGTGAGAAAAATGTGTATCTTAGAATCAATGAAATACAGTGTACATACTGATCTGTAAGATGTCCAGAGAATGAAGAAAGCAAGACCAGAACAGCACGATCTCGTATGTGTAAAGGAAAACAAATTCCTGTTCTGACAGGCCAGGGGTTGGCTGGGGTGAGCTGAGTGGCCATTTTTCAGTGAGAATTTTCCCTTCATCTGAATGATGAAGGGCTCAGTAAGCAACTAATTTAGTCTTCCTAGAGCAGGGCATCACGAGGCCTGGGCTTTTTCATTCCCCTGTGATTCATCTGCTACAAGGGGAAGGCACAAAAGCCTAAAATGCTCTTACCCAAATTTTTATATCTTCTCTCTCTCTCTCATGAGAAATGTTCACTCTTTTGTACTATTGGTAAGACAGATTAGAGGAAGTCTACTTCTCAGCGCTTTGAGGGAGGTTATAAGTGGGATGTTCTCATTACCAGTGACCTCAGGTCTAAAAGGGAGGCCAGCCACCCTCCGCCATTTGGAAAATGACTTTACTTCCAAGAGCCTCAGCTTCACATTTATATCTAGAATATAATCGATGTTTGTGGTCAAGCTATTTCATAGCTGGTTAGGTGTGGCCACCCTTGGGATGGGTGCCCCCTATGCCAGGGTTAACCTTTTAGTTGCTGGATCATGGGGAGCTCTGGTGGTCCTAGGGGTAGCAAACACATGGTTGGGGTGGGGGTGGGGCATTGCGGTGTTTGGGGAGTAGCTCTTTTCCATCCTTCATGGAAGTGTCTCAATATTTTATATTAAATATCAACCTTGGATCTAATACCTGCCTCCTATGAATGTTGTGAAGATTAGATTCAGTGAAATAACATATGCAAAGCATAGAGATCCTCAAATTATAATTCAACTACCACCAGAACTTCAAACAGAAGAGAGTCTTACCTTACAGGGATTCTGTTACATAGTTGGTCCTCTTGCTCATATTTTAAATTCAGCATTCACTAACCATCAGTGGTGAGTGGTTGTATTACAGATTAGGAGCTGTCCTGGCTAGTGGTTGACGTCCCTGTTGAGGATAGGGCATCTGGAACCCTCATCGTCGTTCTCTCTTCTGGTGCTCTGGCTGCAGTAGCAAATGAGGTTGATGTTCCCATGGCCAACTTGTATTCCATTTCCCGGAGCTCCCTTAGCAGGAATTCTGAGTTACTTGCTCCATCAAAACAATGTTGTAATTTGGTGCTTTTCTGTGTTAACTTTTTTTCTCTTGAATTACCAGATTTATATTCTGCAGTTAGAGCCTTACTCAAAGAAAATGACCTACAAGATGCGCAAACATCCCAATTTATTGCCTTTAGAAGGTAACGCATTTAAAGCATTTTAATGTTCTTAGTCTAGCTTTTAAATCTTGTAACTTACATAGATTCTGTTTAAATGGGAGACTCTCTCATCATTCATCACTGCTAATTCTCTCTCTAATTTTGAGGTATTTCTTTGTTAGACATGGCAGAGGGCAGTTGTTTTTTTTTTTTTTTTTAAAGATTTTATTTATTTGACAGAGAGAAACACAGCGAGAGAGGAAACACAAGCAGAGGGAGGGGGAGAGGGAGAAGCAGGCTTCCCGCCGAGCAGAGAGCCCGATGCAGGGCTCGATCCCAGGACCCTGGGATCATGACCTGAGCCGAAGGCAGACGCCTAACGACTGAGCCACCCAGGCGCCCTGAGGGCAGTTTTTAAACAGGGCTCTTTCAGGGCACCTGGATGACTCAGTCGGTTAAGCATCTGACTCGATTTTGGTTCAGGTCATGATCTTGGGGTTGTGTGGTGCAGTCCGCATCAGGCTCTGTGCTGAGCGCTGAACATGGAGCCTGCTTGGGATTCTCTCTCTCCCTCTCTCTCTCTCTCTGCCCCTCTCCCCACTTGCACTGTCTTTCTCTCAAAATAAATAAATAAAATGTTAAAAAAAAAAAAATAGGGCTCTTTCTACCAAATACTAGATTTGGAAACTCCCATGAAATCTGAGTGGAACAAAGGTTTACATTAAGATAAAAATTACGGAGGCACTTGGATGGCTCAGTCAGTGGAGCGTGGGACTCTTGATCTCAGGGTTGTGAATTCAAGCCCCACACTGGGTATAGAGATTACTTAAAAAATTCTACTTTTCTTTTTATAAAAAGAAAAGATAAAAATTACAAAACGCTTTTCTCCTGGAGAGACTCCTGGAAACTTTTTATAGCGTGTAGTACATTGTCATCGTTGGTAACAGGAATAAACACAAAATAGAGACCTTTAAGGTGACCCTTGCTTCTTGCTTATTCATGTGTTTCAGGCAAGACTGTGACGTCATCAACGCCTGCTGTTGCAAGCACTACACGGGCCACCTAATCAAGTGAGCACTAAAGATCGGAAAGCTCCAGGACAGTCCTTCCTTTATTCACCGTCCTTTTATTTGTTTTTGACATTTATCACTGTAGCCACACATTTAAAATCTTTTTTATTCTCATTTGTGAAGTCAAATGATCTCTTCAATTAAATATAATATGTATGTTTAAGAACTGACTGTTGTGGCAATCAGTGTAATAAGCAAATAAGGAATACAGTTTTCCTTGTGGTTTTCAAGTTGGCAACCTCCAGGTTCTCCAAGTTGAGTGTGGGGAATTCAGAATGTTTTCCAAATAGAGTATGTACATAGGTGTGTCCAAGAACCTTAGCAACAGGATGCCCGCAGAGAGCACCTTAGTGGACATCTATAAGAGAAATATAAGTGTGGAAAAGTGGCTCTGTTTACACACAGGAAGAATTAACTCACTTCTCTTGCATTTATCAACACCTAGTATTTATTAAGTGCAGAGAAATTAGAGATGTGGAAGTTCCAGGAGGAGCTCCCTGTCTGTTGAGGGAAGACACACACGAAAACCACCTTAGATAGCCTCACAAAGGGTTAGAAAGCACCAGCGGGAGGTCTTCCAGTCTGTGTCCCAGTGACTCTGATCTTGGCAAGCAGTTTCGCTTTTCCATATATGTAAAAAGAGGATACCGACGCTGCATTTCCCTCATGGAGTTGTAGTGAGGATGAAATGAAATAATATCTCTAAAGGACTTAGCTCAGTAACAGGTATTTCACCAGCGTTTAATTTGCTGCTCCTATTCTGATATAAGGTCATAATTATTAGACTAGAAATATGTGTACATGGGGTAAGACATGAAATAGGGTAGTGATAGGAGAGATTGGAGAGGAGAGGATGAATTTAAAAGGTAGACTCAATAAGATTTTGGGCAACTTTTAGAATATAGAGGACAAGAGAGATGTCAGCATTTATGCCAAGATTTCTAATTTGAAAATATTTGGCTGGGATATATCTTTGGGTTTGAGGTGCCACAGAGGGGATAGGTAATCAGACCATGACTGTGGGAGCCCGATTTCTTGTTGACATTTGGAGAAAAAAAGTGAAGTAAAGATAGAGTGTGGAAATCATTTTGAAAATTGGATCAGATCTGAGTGGGGGTTAATGCTTAAACAAAATGAAATTGAAGTTTTCCAAACCTTGATGACGTATTCTCATTTTCTGACCCAGAGACCATCGGAATAGACTTCAGTTTGGAGTTGGTGATAAAATTTGTTGTACCAGGAATGCATATCTCTCGGAGTTACTCCCTGAAAGTACCTCTCCCAGTCAGGAAAGTAATGAACGAGAGGCCAGTGGTGAAGACTTTAGTGGTACTCCTCATGGTTTTGCTAAAAATAAGCATGACTTTGAAAGTGATATTCGACTCTGCAATGGAGAAATATTTTTTATAACAAAGGTAAGTGACAACATAAAAATAGTACCTTCCTTTTTACCTATTAGAGATAGGTGTTTTTTTTTTTTAATTGCCCTAGGTTTCAGAATCTAATCATATCAGAGTTGACATTCTTCCATAATTTTTTGCTAAGTATTTTTGCATTCATGTTTATGAGGGATACTGGTTTGTAGTTATCTAGTAATGTCTGGTTTTGGTGTCAGAGTAATAATGCTGGCTTCATAAAATGAGTTGGGACATGTTTCTTTCTCTTATATTTTTTGGAAGACTTTGTGAAGAAACATATTTTTAATACGTTCGAAGAGCTTGGGTAACAAAAATAAGGAAAAAGTGACACACTTACTGTATTTTGCAAAGCATCATCTCCTTGGTTGCTGCTTAACTATAGAAACAAGAGAAGCTTCCTTGAATTTGTTCTCATTGTATAAATGCCCTCTTAAACTTGGAGGTTATTCTTTACAAGCTGTGAGGAAAAATAAACTTTTTGCAAAGAATATATGCAGATTTACATAGTCAGTGCAAGAAGTGAAATGTATAGACTCCAGAATAAGTCAGACAACACTGTCTGTTTTCCAGAGAGTCAAATTAAGGTCAAGTTTCAAGTTTACTAAAATTTGGGTGTATATGTATTCAGTTTGTGCTCAAGTGTAGGTTTTAGCCTTTTGAAAGTTCTTAGTAATTGTGAACATACATGCTATTTTATGTTCAACACAAAAATAGAATATCTCTACAAAGTGTGCATATTTGAAAACATACAAAACAGTTCCTTGTTTTGGTTATAGGATGTCACTGATGTAACTTTTGGAAAGAGAAGATCTTTGACCATTAATAATGCAGCTGGCTTGGAAATAACGGTGGACTTTGAAAAACTAATGAAATATTGTCACATTAAACATGCATGGGCAAGAACTATCCACACTTTTCAGGTAACGGTGGACATTTATAAAGCTATTTGGACAGGTTTCGGAGCCATAGAGTACCTTCAATGATTTTCTTCTTGATTTTGTTGCCTTTATTTATTTAATGAGAGACAAGGTTACCAAGGCATACATAAATGGTGGTGTGATGTTTATTTATCTTTGCAGCTTACTTTTTTACTGTTACATAATCAGCTTTATTGGGGTATAATTTCCATAGGCATTTATATTTATAAAGCTGGATGGGTTTTGACAAATGTGTCCTTTGCCTTTGCTCTTGTGAGGCAGCTCCTTTCTACTTGCGAATAATTTTAGTTTTATGCAAGAGTTGGAAAGGTAGCACAGACTATTCCCATGTGCCCTTCAACCAACTTTCCCTAATGTTAACATCCTACACAACTATGGTGTTTTTGTCAAAACTAAGAAATTACCATTAGAAGAATACTATTAACTAAGCTACACACTTTATTTGGATTTTGCCAGTTTTCCACTAATACCCCTTTTCTGTCCCAGGATCTAATCCTGGACACAACATTGCATTTAGTGCAATTTGCATTTAAACTCTTTTTTGGGGGGGGGCGGGCGAGAAGGGGGCAGAGGGAGACAGAGAATCTTAAGCAGGCTCCACACTGGGTTTGGAGCTTGATGTGGGGCTTGATCTCACAATCCTGAGATCATGACCTGAGCTGAAATCAAGAGTCGGATGTTTAACCGACTGAGCCACCCAGGTGCCCCTTAGCTCCATTCTAATACTCTTGAATTCCCATAAGCTATTTGTGGTTCTGTTATTTAACTCACTGTTTTGAGCGCCCCTCTTTGATGTTGGTGTGTTGCTTTAATCATGAAGCTGCATTATCAGCCTACATTTGCATGTGGAAAAATTTAGGTTAGCCTGTGTCCTCTACTGGTAGGCAAACATTAATTAGCATAGGGATTTTTTTTTTTAAGTAGATGGTGTTTTATTTATTAACCTACTCCATCTCAGTTCCAAAAGGAATTTGAAATGACTTATAAAAAATGCCCACAATTCAGCCTGGTTTTTTTTTTTTTTTTTGAAGATAAAGAAATGATGTCAAGTGGAAAATAAAGGTAAGGGTGATAAAAGGATTCTCGCTAAGAGTGGGATGGAATGCTGATATGTGCACTGACCTATTTGCTTGCTAGTGTAGACTGCAGATTTGGCTTTAAATTTTCTTTTTTTTTTTTTCTTTTTAAGGATTTTATTTATTTATTTGAGAGAGCGAGAATGAGAGAGAGTACATGAGAAGGGGGAGGGTCAGAGGGAGAAGCAGGCTCCCTGCCGAGCAGGGAGTCCGATGCGGGACTCGATCCCGGGACTCCAGGATCATGACCTGAGCCGAAGGCAGTCGCTTAACCAACTGAGCCACCCAGGCGCCCTTGGCTTTAAATTTTCAAAACGAGAGAGAAGCAGTCAGTGGACTGTGTCTATTGGATAAAAAAAAACAAAAAACAAAATAAAACAGCCAGTTGTTAAGAAGTACAAATATTCCTGGCTTCGAGGTCCTGGCAAAATTTCTCCCGTGGATCTTTATGATGGGATCTCTGTAATTCTGGAAACTCATATCAGTCAATTTGGGGGAATTTTCTTGAATTTCATTAAGATTTCTTGTCCTCAGTTTTCTCTGTTTTGTCTTTCTAGAATGTCTACTATGTTCAACCTCCAGAACTGATTATCCAAATTTCTTATCTCTCTCCTGCTTTCCATCTCATTATCATTTTGCTGTATTTTCTGAGAGATTTCCTCAAATTTATAATCCAGTCTTTTTTTACATTTCTGGACAAATGAAGTATGAAGGGATCTTTTTATTACTCGATTAAGGTTGTAGTAACTATCTCTAAGTGTTCCTTTTATTAAATCTGGCTCTTGTTTTGTGGTTGAAATAGCATCTCTTACCTCTGAGAACATTCGTGATTGTTATCTTGTATGAGTGTAGTTTGTTTCTTCCAAGTTCAGTTCAGTTCAACAAATATTTATTGAGTTAGACTGTTCTTGGTGCTTGGTTTAGATCAGTCCATGAAACAAAGATACCTGCCACTGGGAAGATTACATTTGGTGGGGAGGAGGAAGGAGACAGACAGACATAGTCATGAAACAATAAGTAAACTACAATTGACCCTTGGACACTGTGGGGATTTGGGGCAGCGACCCCTCGTTGTAGTCAGAAATCCATTACAATTTTTGATTTCCCAAAGACTTAACTACTCATAGCCTACTGTTGACCAGAAGCCTTACCGATAATGTAAACAGTTGATTAACACATATCTTGTATGTTCTATGTATTATATACTGTATTCTTTTTTTAAAAAAAATTTTTATTGTTATGTTAATCACCATACATTACATCATTAGTTTTTGATGTAGTGTTCCATAATTCATTGTTTGTGCATAACACCCAGTTCTCCGTGCAGAATGTGCCCTCTTTAATACCCATCACCAGGCTAACCCATCCTCCCACCCCCCTCCCCTCTAGAACCCTCAGTTTGTTTTTCAGAGTCCATTGTCTCTCATGGTTCGTCTCCCCCTCCGATTTCCCCCCCTTCATTCTTCCCCTCCTGCTATCTTCTCTTTTTTTTTCTTAACATATATTGCATTATTTCAGAGGTACAGATCTGTGATTCAACAGTGTTGCACAATTCACAGCGCTCACCATAGCACATACCCTCCCCAATGTCTATCACCCAGCCACCCCATCTCTCCCACCCCACCCCCCACTCCAGCAACCCTCAGTTTGTTTCCTGAGATTAAGAATTCCTCATATTGGGCGCCTGGGAGGCTCAGTTGGTTAAGCGACTGCCTTCGGCTCAGGTCATGATCCCAGGGTCCTGGGATCGAGTCCCACATCGGGCTCCCGGCTCAGCGGGGAGCCTGCTTCTCCCTCTGACCCTCTCCTCTCTCATGCTGTTTCTCTCTCGCTCGCTCTCTAATAAATAAATAAATAAAATCTTTAAAAAAAAAAAAAAGAATTCCTCATATCAGTGAGGTCATATGATACATGTCTTTCTCTGATTGACTTATTTCGCTCAGCATAACACCCTCCAGTTCCATCTATGTCGTTGCAAATGGCAAGATCTCATTCCTTTTGATGGCTGCATAATATTCCATTGTATATATATACCACATCTTTATCCATTCATCTGTCGATGGACATCTTGGCTCTTTCCACAGTTTGGCTATTGTGGACATTGCTGCTATAAACATCAGGGTGCACCTACCCCTTTGGATCCCTACATTTGTATCTTTGGGGTAAATACCCAGTAGTGCAATTGCTGGGTCATAGGGTAGCTCTATTTTCAACTTTTTGAGGAACCTCCATACTGTTTTCCAGAGTGGCTGCATCAGCTTGCATTCCCACCAACAGTGTAGGAGGGTTCCCCTTTCTCCGCATCCCCGCCAACATCCGTTGTTTCCTGACTTGTTAATTTTAGCCATTCTGACTGGTGTGAGGTGGTATCTCATTGAGGTTTTGATTTGGATTTCCCTGATGCCGAGCGATGTTGAGTACTTTTTCATGTGTCTGTTGGCCATTTGGATGTCTTCTTTGCAGAAATGTCTGTTCATGTCTTCTGCCCATTTCTTGATTGGATTCTTTGTTCTTTGGGTGTTGAGTCTGATGAGTTCTTTATAGATTTTGGATACTAGCCCTTTATCTGATGTCATTTGCAAATATCTTCTCCCATTCTGTCAGTTGTCTTTTGGTTTTGTTGACTGTTTCTTTTGCTGTGCAAAAGCTTTTTATCTTGATGAGGTCCCAATAGTTCATTTTTGCCCTTGCTTCCCTTGCCTTGCCGATGTTTCTAGGAAGAAGTTGCTGCAGCTGAGGTCAAAGAGGTTGCTGCCTGTGTTCTCCTTTAGGATTTTGATGGACTCCTGTCTCACATTTAGGTCTTTCAACCATTTGGAGTCTATTTTTGTGTGTGGTGTAAGGAAATGGTCCAGTTTCATTCTTCTGCACGTGGCTGTCCAATTTTCCCAACACCATTTGTTGAAGAGACTGTCTTTTTCCATTGGACATTCTTTCCTGCTTTGTCGAAGATTAGTTGACCATAGAGTTGAGGGTCCATTTCTGAGCTCTCTATTCTGTTCCATTGATCTATGTGTCTGTTTTTGTGCCAGTACCATACTGTCTTGATGATGACAGCTTTGTAATAGAGCTGGAAGTCTGGAATTGTGATGCCGCCAGCTTTGCTTTTCTTTTTCAATATTCCTCTGGCTATTTGGGGTCTTTTCTGGTTCCATACAAATTTTAGGATTATTTGTTCCATTTCTTTGAAAAAAGTTGATGGTATTTTGATGGGGATTGCATTGAATGTGTAGATTGCTCTAGGTAGCATTGACATCTTCACAATATTTGTTCTTCCAATCCATGAGCATGGAACGTTTTTCCATTTCTTTATATCTTCCTCAATTTCTTTCATGAGTATTTTATAGTTTTCTGAGTACAGATCCTTTGCCTCTTTGGTTAGATTTATTCCTAGGTATCTTATGGTTTTGGGTGCAATTGTAAATGGGATCGACTCCTTAATTTCTCTTTCTTCTGTCTTGTTGTTGGTGTATAGGAATGCCACTGATTTCTGTGCATTGATTTTATATCCTGCCACTTTACTGAATTCGTGTATGAGTTCTAGCAGTTTTGGGGTGGAGTCTTTTGGGTTTTCCATATAAAGTATCATATCATCTGCAAAGAGTGAGAGTTTGACTTCTTCTTTGCCAATTTGGATGCCTTTGATTTCTTTTTGTTGTCTGATTGCTGTGGCTAGGACTTCTAATACTATGTTGAATAGCAGTGGTGATAGTGGACATCCCTGCCGCATTCCTGACCTTAGGGGGAAAGCTCTCAGTTTTTCCCCATTGAGAATGATATTTGCTGTAGGTTTTTCATAGATGGCTTTTATGATATTGAGGTATGTACCCTCTATCCCTATACTCTGAAGAGTTTTGATCAAGAAAGGATGCTGTACTTTGTCAAATGCTTTTTCTGCATCTATTG